TCACTCGAAAGGCCTAAGTTTAACCTCGAAATGAAAATTGTCACAAAATAATGAATGAAATTATTTTCTGAACAACCCCATAGTTACACATTGTCAATAAAATAATATACAGTAAAAAGGACAATCTCAATAATACTCTGTGAACTCTTATTAAAATACTTTATAAATTTCTTACAAATAAAAAAAAAAATAAATAATAATAATAATAATAATAATAATAATAATAATAAAGAAGAATTTATTATTCGAAGTATAATAATAAGAAACATAAAACGAACCTTGGAATAAAGTATCGATTGACGATTGAAATTCAAGAGAAGTATTAAAATTCAAATATATTACAAAAAAAAAAAAAAAAAGAAAAAAAAGAAAAAAAATTTATTAATAATCGATCGAAACGTAAATAAATACGATAGTAAATAAAAAAAAATCTCAAAGATATTTAATCTACGATATCTCGATAATAAAAATAACAATAAGAATAATAATAATAAATAATTTTATTATTTTCTTTATATATTTTTATATATAAAGAATCGATAAATTGATATCGATTTATTCAAGTTGTAAACAATCATTCCTGTTGTTAAATTCAAAAAAGATTGTTTAATAATTCGTATAAAAATTCAAACATATTTAATATACGATATTTCCATGATAAAAATAATAAATAATAATAATTAATGTATATTTAAGTCGTAAACAATTGTTCTCTTTGTTAAATTCGAAAAAAAAAAGATTGTTTAATATCATTAAAGTTATTGGCAACTCTCTAAAAATACGTAAAGCTACTTCTAACAGTATATTTACCCCTCCCCTTCTATACACAAGTTTCTTACTATACCTAAGTAGTCTACTATAGTACCACTTGTCCAATTTTAACGCAGTAACACTGTCCACACTGTCCTACTCTTAACCGGGAGACGATGTGTCCTTGATAATTGCGAAATTTGGACCGGGTCTCGTACATATAATAAATGTTAAGTCTTGTACAGATTCTAACCTAAAACGATATAACAGTACAATAATAATACTCATTCATTATAACCTACATATATCATCATCATCATCATCATCATCATTATTATTAAAATATATTTTTTAAATCATAAAAAAACATCATTTTGAAGTCTTGTACAGATTCTAACCTAAAAAGAGCAGTACAATAATAATTCATTATACCCTACATATATCATTATTATTATTAATATTATTATTATTTTTATTATTATTACTATTATTATTAAAATATATTCTTGAAATCCTAAAAAACATAATTTTGGAAAATCTTGTACAGATTCTAACCTAAAACAATAATAACACACAGTACAATAATAACACTTATTCATTATACCCTACATATACCATCATCATTATTATTATTATTATTAATAATAATAATAATAAATATTTTTGGAATCTCAAAGAAGGAACTAAAAATGTTCTTTTGACTTCAATATTAATCCTAGTTTTTTATCATTCATTCTAGTAATGTCGAAGTAAACAATTTTTTTTTTTTTTTGGTAATATTTCTATTGACGATTTGACTATGATGGGGTATCCACTTACATTCGTAATTCTTAGAAGTTGATTTGATTTATCGTGAATCGGTATATACATTGAAAATATAAAAAATGACTGAAGGCTATACTTGAGAGAAACAATTAGTCATGTCGGTAACAGATGAGAGAGAAAGAGAGAGAGAGAGAGAGGAGTCTCTATCCAAGTGATAAAAACGTATCATCAATAAGGAAAGGCAACGAACTGGGGCTAAAAGAGGGGTGAGATGAGGTGGGGTGGGATGGGGTGAGGTTCTTTTTGATAGCTCGCGTCATCTTAAGTTTAAAACAGCTCGTGTGCGTAATAATGACGAGACAAGAAGACGAGTTTGACATACCTAAGTAATGCGTCAACAACGTCAACCAAAAATAATCCAACACTGTGATCCTTTATTGTAATCGATATTTTTTTATAGTTTTTTTTTTTTTTTTTTATATTAATCATATATTTTCTAATGTTATTTTTTAAATAGAAGAAACAAAGAATTCAATTCTGCAGAATATAAAATGAAAAAAATTCGTTTTAACACATTTTGTGCTTGAATAATTTGATGCCAAAGTTTTACCGTGTAGCAGGTGATTTTTTACAGTTTAGAATTTTACAAAAAAATTCTGAATAGGCATAAAATAGCTGTAGTTTTGAAACATTAGGTTTTTTTTTTAAATAAATAAATAAATATTTAATATTATTTATGATATTTTAATAATATATATATATATATATATATACTTTATTTTATTTTATTTTTTATATAAATTCTTTTTATATTAAATTTAAAATATTTTTTATTTATATATTATTGTAAATATATATAAATGTATTTTATAAACAAATATTTCTAATATTTTATTATAAAATAAAAATATGAATTTATATAAATTTATATAAAAAAAAACAATTTAATATAAATATATACAAATAATATTATAAATAAATAAAATAAACGACTTTAGTCGTTTTCCACGCAAAATGTGTTAAACAATAACTTTATCGAATTTTCAAAACATGTATAAAATAAAAACAATAATATAAATTTTGGAAAAATGTATAACAAATGACCAACGTACAATTCTGGGTTATTTAAGGAAAAAGAAATAGAATTAAATAAATAATATCCTACATGGTGTTCAAATATTAAAATTATAGTCACCGTATTTAAATATCTACAAATATATATATATATATCTTTGGAAAAAAAAATATAAAAAAAGAAACAGTCATATCTCAAGAAACATTGAACGACTCTAACGTCAAGAATAACTCGTAACTTTTGAAATTATTATATCAACATGTAATTTTTCGTCCGACGAGAGTAAGACAAATGGTTGCTGACAGTATTTCCGAATATACGATCTATTTTTCACATTATTTTCATATTTTTTTTTTATATATACATATATACATATTTTTATTTCTATTTTTTTTTTTGCTTGTTTCACGCTCCACCGTTTCACCTATTTTCAAATCATTTCGATTCTAAAACAGCTTTCACTTGAAAAATAACCAAACGACGAACGTAATGCTGAATATCACCGACTATCGGCAGATGAAACACAAATATTAAACTCTAGCTTTTTGAAAAAAAAAAAAAAAATAATAATAAAGAAAAGAAAAAATAATAAGGTACAATCTTTGACAAGTTCCACACCTTGACACAGGTGTACCTTTTCAAGAAGGAAATAAACGTAACATTTCTTTTCAAGATGTCAAATCAATTTCTAACAGATGTAAAATATTAAATGTCAATATCGAAACCTGATACTTTTTTCTCTTATTCTTCTTATGGATTAGATAATAAATGTTACTTAAGAGATCAAAATTATAAAACACTATTTTTATTGGTATCTTTTCAAATATTAAACAATTATTTTTCAAAAATAACTGGTGTAAGATTTTTGTTACTTTTTTTTTTTAATTATATTGAAGATTAAAATATTATATTGAAACACATCTAAAAAAAAAAAAAAAAGAAGAAATATCACGTTTAAGGTTATTATAATTGACCTTAATTAATTAATTAACCTTATTTTATAAGTTTAAATTACGGTTAATTTAAATATGTATTTACTACAAATTAAAAATAAGATCTTATGATCTATCTATCAAAAAAAGCTCGTACCTTTAGTAATCCTTCGTTCGTAAGAGATAATAGAGAAGTATTGATTTTAATATTAAACCGTAATCGATAGACGTGCTACTTTACCAAAGAACACCAACCACAACTACCACCATTCATCCTATAACTATAAAATCTGTACTTAACAGTTCGTCGATGTGGAAAATTTCTACTAAGAGAGTTTTTACGATCTTATTGTTTAAAAGAAAAAACCCTTTTACATTGAGTTATACTTTTACCAATTAAAAAGATTAATTAATTCTGTCCATTTTGTATGTTGGAAAAACGGTACTATCATAAACGATGATTCACATGTTGTTAGCTTGAATAATTATTACGAAATTGTATTGAAAGACTAAAATATCTCGTTAGATTACACCCAAAGGAATGTGTAAAATCCATGATCGTTGGATTTCAACTAACTTTGATTAGATATTACTAGTAAGCATCCTTGATTACTGTTTATTTACTTTAACTTTGAGTTGACTTGTACCCTGGGGACTAGTAAAATCAAATTATTCTATATAAACACTGAGTTATACAAATATCGTATATATACAGGTGGTGGTGATCGATGATCATCAAAGTATTTTTACTTATTTAAGATTATATTACTAAATGTTACTAGTTTATATTACTAGTATTTACTCAATATATAATTTGATACACTTTCTCTCTTGAAATTTGACGACTATATTATTCGATATATTTTCATAATAATAATAATAATAATAATAATTATTATTATTATTATTATAAGTTTTATTATTATATACCATCGTTTTTTATACTATAGTTTATTAAATAAAATTCAATATTATTAAAATTATTTATAAAATAAATAATTTTATATAATAATAATAATAATATAATAAATAATAAATAAATTCAATAATTGTATTTAATAAATTCATCATATAATTATATAATATAAATTATATTTTTTTTTCCACCCCCGAGATTTGAACTCGAGAACATACGATTACTGGATGGTGATTTGCCTCACTGAGCCATGCGATCTTTAATATAAATTATATAATTTAAATATTAATATAATATTAATATTTAATACTATAATTATATCATAATATCAATATATAATAATAATAATAATAGTAATAATAATAATAATTATATAATTATAAATATTATACATTAAATATAATATAATATTAATTCTATTATATTATTTTTTTTATAATTTATATTATTAATTAAATTATATAATTTATATAATTATATTTATATATAATAATTTTATTTAATAAATTATATTTTAATTTAACTATATATTAACTAACTATATTTTAATTTAATGTTTCAGAAAACAGAGAATTGATATCATCTAACAACAATATCAATGATTTATTTTATTAACAAAAATATCAACTCGAAGACACATATCTTTCGATTGGAATAATCGATAAACAAACATGGCTTATTAAATTTTCATTTGATTAAAACTTGGACAAATTTATGGTCAAAAAAAAAAAAAAAAAATAAAAGAATTATAATATGAAATATCGGAGAGATGATAATATTAGAATGATGAAGTAATATGGATCCGATGAAAAAAATTGTTAAAAGAAAAAGCAGTCAAAGAAAAAGAAGAAAAGGAAGCTGAAGATACAAAAGTAAAAAAAAAAAAAACAAAGTTAAATATAAGAAAATAAATAGAAAGAGAGGAGTAGTAAAGTCAAAAGATAAATCAATGATATAAAATGATGGAAACAACGACGACAACAACGGTTTATTATAATACTCGTCCATCGTATTATCAAAATGAGACTAACGACACTAACGTTCCTGCTGAATGTTATCAAAAAATAAATTCAACCGGTTTGTTCGATTTTATCGTATACGGTATATTAATTAATTTCGTAGGACTATGTGGTATATTAGGAAACACCATATCAATGGTGGTACTTTCTCGACCACAAATGAAATCTTCCATTAATTATCTACTCATTGGTTTAGCCAGTTGTGACACTCTTCTAATAATTATTGCGGTAAGTTGTAATTTAACGAATAATAATAATAATTATTATTATTATTAGAATTTAATTATAAACTTTTAATGGTGATATCATTAATTAAAGTCAATCCAGTAACAAACAAAAGGCTATTATAAACCGATTGATTAACCAATCAATTTTCATATCTATTATATTAATTAATTGAGCAATTGAAAATATTTACTCGTTCAAATGGTTTAAATGCTATCACGGATGAAATATAATCCGACGAGATTTATTTGCAAACCCCACCACCTCTCCACCCCCATTGGCATCACGCGTATTCGTTCGATGCGATTATATATATATTTTTTTTTAATTTTTTTTTTTAATTTACGAGCTATTTAAATATGCCAATTAAACATTTAATTTGTTTTATTGATTTAATCGAACAAAAATCAAATAATATTACTTCCAATGTAATCGAACACTTGTAACAACGTTAAATAATAATTCTTTTAAGGATTATTCTTTTTCAAATTTGTCAGAAAAAAATAACAAGTTGTAAATCTGACTAAAAAATCTTTTTAAGTGGTCCTAACACAAACGTGACAATAAAGTTCACTTTTTTCAAATCCTTTTTTTAGTTCTAATCGTTTCAGTTCTTTCAAAAGATTCTTTCGTTGATTTTGTTTCCAAAAGTGTAAATAATTGAACCCTTAGATTGGAAATCCTTTCAGAATTGTATGAATTAAATTATTAAACAAAATGATATTGAAACATCAATCGATATGTCAATTAAAATATTAATTTGTTATTTATCAAACAGATTCTCATCTTTGGATTACCATCGATTTACCTTTACACCGGTTATCTTTTTAACTATCAATTCGTCGTTTATCCGAAGATAGTCAAATATTTATATCCAATATCGTGTGCTGCACAAATAGCAACAGTTTATTTAACGTTAACTGTAACAATAGAACGATATATCGCAGTTTGTCATCCACTCAAAGCTAGATCATTTTGTACATGTGGACGTGCACGTTTGGCTTTTCTAAGCATCGTTATTTTTGCATTAATCTACAATTCACCAAAGTAAGTGAAATATTATGAACAATTAATTATTATTAAGATCACGTGTAATTGTATTGAAATCATTCGATTTCATAATCATGCATATTAAATTGCATATTAATTGATTATTATTTTTAATTATTTTTTATATTATATATTATATTTTTTTTATGTAGCTTTATTATATAATATATTTTTTATTTTTTATTTATATTATATTTTTATATTTATATATATTTTTGATTTATATTATATATATTATATTATATATATATTTTATTTATATTATATATTATATTTTTTTTTTATGTAGCTCTATTATACAATATATTTTTATTTATATTCTATATTTTATTTATATATATTTTATTTATATTATAATTTTATATTTATATATATTTTATTTATAGATAAGATAAGAAGTTTATTTCAGGTATACCCTTTTAGGGTGTTTACCCCTATATTTTATTTATATTATAATTTTATATTTATATATTTTTTATTTATATTATATGTATTATATTTTTTATTTATATTCTATATTTTATTTATATTATATTTTTATATTTATATATTTTTAATAATTGTTAATTATTAGTAATAATATTTAAATTTCACGATGTTTTGTTCTATATAATATTCTCAATAAAGTTCAATCATTTTGTTTTTTCTACGAAATATAACAAAACCAATTTAAAAAAATATAAATCGTTGGAAGAATAATCAATGACGAATTACAGCACACAGAAAATCTCAGATCTCATAATAATATTAATAAAAAGAAATATACGGAAAATATTTATAGAGATGTATCGAAATAAAATTATCCGTGAAGAGAGAGAGAGAGAAAGAGAGAGACTCTCAAAGTACTAAATCCGTCAATGATAATTTACAAAATTTTTCTTACAACACAGGACTGACAATAATTTATTTTTTATTTTCTTTTGTTTTTTTTTTTTGTTTCTTTCTTTCTTTTACTGTTTTTCATTGCATACGTCCGTTTTATATAAGTGACACGCGCTCGCGTGCGTATATTTTATATTTGTTTTCAGATTTTTCGAAATAGAAATTTACACTGAGATGCATTGGAAATACAATGTAGCAGTTTATTGCGTACGTCCAGCATCTTTGAGAAGCAACGACCTTTACGTGACCGTATACGTCCATTGGATGTACTTTTTTGTGTGTTATTCCATTCCTCTAATCGCATTAATTATTTTCAACGTGGCTATTTATCGAAGGGTAAGTCTAATAACTAAAGATATTAATTAAACAAAAATACTATAATATTAATTAATTATAAATATAATTATTATATATTATTTTAATTTTAAATATAATTATTATATATTATTTTAATTATAAATATAATTATAATAATTATTAAATTAATTTATATCAAATTTACGTTAAATTATTATATTAATTTTATAATTATTATAATTAAATTTATAATTATTTATTATATTATTTTTTAATTATATTAAATTAATTATTAATTTAATTATAAATATAATTATTTATATATTATTATATATATATATACTTATATATAATATAGTGATGATTCTAATTTTATTTAAATTAACCTACAATATGGTTGAATAATTTTTAAAAACTTTAATAANCTTATATATAATATTTAATAATTAAAGATATTAAATAAATTAATATATATAATATTATATAATATAATATTATTATATTATTCTTATTCATATAATATATTAATATATATATTTAATACATATATACATACTAATACTAAAACTATCTATAATTTAGTTAAATTATCGTTCAAACATGGTTTCTATTTCACTTACACATTTTTTGATCTTTCTCTCTTTTCTTTACTTTTCATACGGTTTCATTTAAAAAAAAGAAAAAAAGAAAATGAAAAAGAATATACATTTGAAAGCACTTGAAAAATACATACAATATTTTCTTCTCTTCTCACTTTTAACTTTCAACCGAAAATAATACGTAACATGCGCGAGATGAAATTGTATACATAAAGTTGTACTTTTGATAAAGATAGAAAGAGATGGATCGTGAAAGAAATATTTTGACAATATATTGGATATTTTGTTCCTCTTTCCTTCCTTCCTTCCTTCCTTCCTTTCACTTAAAAAATATATTTTTGTTTCTTATATATATATATATGTGTGTATAAATGTTACAGGTCAGAAAAGCGAACAGGGATTTGCAACAACTGACTCGTCATCAAAGACGTGAAATTGGATTGGCAACAATGTTACTTTGTGTTGTGATAGTATTCGTAATATGTAACATTTTACCACTTACATCAAACATTATGGAAACATTTATCGGCGATCCACCTAGGTGGTTAGTTCAAATTGGTAATTTATTGGTTACCATAAACAGTAGTATCAATTTTATAATATACGTGATATTTGGTAGAAAATTCAAACGGATATTTATGAAATTATTTTGTGTTACGGGAATTTTCAATCGTGAAAGAGACAGTCCAGAACATCAAACACGTGACGAGTCGAGCGTGACTAATATGACGAACATAGAGTTAAGAAATTCTATTAGAAATAATCATTTGAATAGAACAAATACCATCAATAGAAACAATTACGTTCATTATACAAATGGGGGAACTAGACAAAGCATTGGATTATCAAATAGACCAACAAGTCCAGGTACACTCGTTTATTATCCCCCATGTAATTCTATGAAAAATTTAAACAAATTAAATAATATATCATCCTCCGATCAAAATGAATGGAATAAAAATAATAATAATAATTCTTCTATATAGTTCCCATTTGTTAAATGATCACCACAAATTTCTATTCAATCGTGTTATATATATATATGTGTGAGTCCTAAGATAATATTAACCCTTCGCACTCGAGCCCATTTTTGCTTGTGCTAATCAGCAACTCGAGACGATTTCTGCAACATTAGGGAAACATTTCACATATTAATGTAATAAAATTTCATCAATTAATTTATTTTTATATCAAAAACAACTAAATTTGAAAAATATTATACTCTGTAAAATTAATTTTTGTATGATATTTCGTAAAACAATACCCAAGATGTATCCTCGGTTTATCAGGACACGTATCATAATAATTACTTTATAAAATAATTATTATAAATTTATATTTATATTATTATTATTTATATTAAATTTAAATAATATTAATTATATATTATAATTATTATTTATATTAATATTAAATTATATTATACTATATAATACTAATAGTTACTTCCGGCCTATTATCTTCAGGCGTATTACGATCAGAGTAAACCTTACAGTCCCTTTTCGGCTCAGTATTATCTTTAAGTATATCTTAAAAGAAATATCTTATCACAAATCGTAAATAAGCAGATAGAGTAACAAAAGACTTGAAATCATCCGGGCGCCGTATTAGCGCCATTCGAGTTGTCACTTAAATCTGCCGGACGCTAATTCAACGCTGCTCGAGTGCAAAGGGTTAAGTTAAATTAAATTTAAAAAAAAAGGCAATCAAACAAACAAAATAATCACTTATTTCCATTGAAATTATAAATAATTATTTTATCGTATAGATTATTCAATTCTTTTACTTTTGTACTATTTCATTTTCTTTTTAAAATGATATTACTATTTATATTAATAATTTAACACGTTCCGTGTGCTACACACGTGTACCATCGGGTTGGTACACTTACCATTACACATATTTATTTTTAATGTACTAAAAATATATGTTTTTATAACAAATTTAATTCTATACACAAAAATATTCCTATTAAAATATTATAAGAATAATATAAAACACATAAGTTTGTTTAAAGGACCATCTCAGTGTAACCGGCCAAAAAAATTGTCAATTGTCGTGATTTTTTTTTCGGATGGATAGAACGAGGGGATCGGGATGTTTTTTTTTTCCAAATAAGACTACTCTTTAACAATACACAAATATTTGTTTCATTCGTTTTTATTTATTTTTACTTATTGTTAATAATTATTTTAAAAAGTGAGTAGAAAAAAATGGGGGCAATCGGTGTCAACGATTATTATGGTCGCAGTTTGCATCTAAAAGAAAAAAATCAAATTGATTATCAATCTGTAAGGAAGCCGCTATGTCTCTATGGAGGTTTATTTTTTTTTTTTTGAAATTTGACAAAATGGCGCAACGGCTTGAAGAAAAAGTACGAAATTTAGCCCTGTTTTTCAACAGTTTTTCGTGTGAAAAAATAGGAAGAATTAAAAAAAAACAAAAAAAAAGCTTCCATAGGGACATAAAGAATGAAGTAAAAAAAATTCCGTAAAAATTTCAAGTCGATAGTTTGAAAACTCTCCCTCTGAGAGCAGACACCGTTTGTAAAAAGGGCATTTTGAGAAAAACGCGTTTAATGTTTAGCGAGCGTCAATTTACGCTCCAATCTCTTTTTCCAAGAAAGGTTGTAGCGATCGTAATAATTCGAATTTAAATGTGAAAATTTTACAAAACACGCACAACTATATGTACTTCAAGATAAGACCAAAAAACAAAATCAATTTGTTTTAAATTTTACCCTGAGATGGTCCCTTAATTGTTATATTTACAATAATCAATAATTACATGTAACGATTGATTTTGTTCAAGCAAAATTAAATGACTTAAATGACAAGTCAGGTAAAAAAGGACTTGACACGGAACGTGTTAAAAAGAAAAAGAATAAAAAAAAAAAAATAAACATTTTTATCTTATTATTAAAAAGGCAACAACAGAATTTAATATTGTTTATATTTGCGATAAGGTGTTAATGCATTTTCTGGGAAATATATGTTTTTTTTTTTTTTGAGTATGACACACAGTCTGCCTTTTTATAATATTTACGAAATATGTTAAAAATTATTTCACATAAATAAAAAGACCATAAACTCTCTATGGTCATAATGTTGATAATGTTGTTATCCTAAGCGATAACATATTTAAAAACAGTATTATTCATATTTATTCATTGTATAATTCATTGGATATATCATTTTGATCAGATATATATATATATAAGGTAATTAATTTAATGTTAACAAAAAATTGTGAGATCAATCAAAAAAAAAAAAAAAATCTTCTTCTATTTATTCATATTTTCAAAAATATGTCTCTTAAACTGTCCTTATCGTTGTTGTAAATATTCTATTTAAATGATCATGTATTTTTTAAGATAATAAAAAACGAGACTGTATGTATGTTCGAGAAAAAATAATCGTTCTAATAAACAAATTTTTAAATAAGTGTGCTATTTGTATATATATATATATAGAATATAAAATTGTATATTCTATGTATATTTATTAAACTACACACAACTTTGATAGAAAAGTGTTCCAACAAAAAAATAGAATATTTGTACAAAGATCTTATTAAAAGATATATATATATATCTATATCTATGTATAATACTAAATGAAAAGACTATTATTATAAAAACTATTGTAAATATATTCTATACAGAGTGTCCTAAAAATTTTTCCATACAATTTTATCAGTATATTTTAATTAGACTGATACAATTTTACGGAAAACAACTGGACCAACCTGTATGTATGTGAGTGGGTTGAAAAGTTTAAAGCCTGACATAGAAACAATTTTGTTTTGTCGATCAAATTAATTTCTATTTTTTGACATAAGCTGAAAATTAAAAAAAAAAAAAGTATAAGCTTAAGACTTTTTAATCTATTCTCATGTATAAATATTCAAAATATATATATATATATATAAATATAATATACAGCGTCATTTGCGTAGTGTATTTGTGATTCGCAACGATTTCTAAAATAATATTTTCAATGGTAAATATTTAAAAATAATAAATTTTAATAGTTGTCAAAATATTCATTCTAATTTTTAGATAAAAGTAAAACGTAAGGGCAGAAATGAAACTATACATATATATATATGTTAATCTAACGTGTCACGAATTTTTGCCAAAAAAAAAAAAACAAATGAAATCTTTAAATTGTTCTAATATTTTTTTAATACTAAATTATCTAATAAAATTCTCAATTGTGTTAGATATTACACTGATAAGCAACATTGAAAATTTAATTAATAATATACATATATATTAATATAACTCTCGATTATATTATATTATTAGATTTAATCTGAAGTAAAACAAAAATCACATGATCTATTTAAAAATTATTTTATCCTCCAATTTTTGAGATATCATTTAAAACAAATTAGAATTAAGTGGAGGGAAAAAAAAGCGCTCTCGTAATTATAAAATAAAATGATGTAATATTCTGATATATATTAAATTCTAGTGATAATCAATTTCTTCGATTATTTTTTCATTTTTACAGGGTGTCTTATATGATGCGATTATCCCTCTCCAATTTTTTTAAAATTTGCCACACTTATCGTACATCTCACTGAGAATTTGTATGAATTCATGTTATTACCGCTAGATGGAGATAAATGTTTTACTAGTCGGTAAAATGAAGTAATAACTAGTACCGCTAGATGATTGCACATATGTTACCAGTCGCTAAGATAAAGTAATAATTATTACCGCTAGATGGTAGCACATATTTTGCAGTCGGTAATAAAATACAAATTTCCTAATATATTTTTATTAAATAATTAAAAATGAATGCAACATAAATCATTTTTAATATGATAAAAATAAATGTATCTTAACAGTATTATAATATTTGTTTCTTCCTCAAACAAGATTATAATTTTTACCTCTAAACATATTATTGTATAGATTATTTTTTTGTCACTGCAACTGCATTCTATTCGCATAATAATTTACAGGGAGTTTTTACAAAGAAGACATGAGTGTCCATGTGTTCGGACGACACGAGTCGCTTTCATAGTGTGCCACTCCGGCGTGCCCGCCAACTTCGGTTACACTCGACTTCTTTCGACATCCCAAACACACGGACATGGATAACTTTCATTGTGTGCAATCCCAGTGGCACAGGGAGAGGGTAAGATTTATCCACGATTTGGCAGCACAGTTCTAACCTCTTCCGAAGTAACATAACCTAAGCGGGAATTGTACATCATCTGTCTTATTTATGTAAAGTTTTCTGTTTTTCTAAAAGAATAGTTTATTTTTTTTAAATAATTGACGAAGTATAAACTGTAAGTTAAAAATATCATAATGCATATAAAACGTTTATTGAGTGCAAGAACATTTTTTCAACAAGTTTATTACAGAAAAACTAACACTTATAGTAATACCGATAAAAATGTATTAAAACTGAAAGAAAGGGGTATGTACGAGGATATATTTCCCAATAATTGTACGTAAGTGTTATTATATTGATTTTTATATATACATAAAAACATCCATGTATTTTTATAAATCATTCATTCTTTGTTAACAGCGAAGAGATAACCAAATTATTAACCAAATCTCCACAATGTGTTTACGCTGGATTCGATCCAACAGCGAACAGCTTACACATAGGAAATTTATTAATTTTGATGAATCTTTTACATTGGCAACGTGCAGGACATCAAGTAATTGCAGTATTGGGTGGTGCGACTGGTTTAATAGGTGATCCTAGTCATCGAAAATCAGAAAGAGTTGAAATCGAAGAAGTACTCTTAAAAGAAAATTTGGTATCCATCAAAGAAGACATAATAAATGTATTTAATAATCATCAAAAATATTTTTGGCCTGATAAAACAAGAAAATTGAAACCATTGCAAATTTTGAATAATTTACATTGGTATAAGGATATTAATATTATTCAATTTGTAAGAAAAGTTGGAAAGTATTTCAGATTAGGTACAATGTTAGGAAGAACATCTGTTCAGTCACGTTTGAATTCAGAAACTGGAATGAGTTTTACCGAATTTACGTATCAAGTATTTCAAGGATACGATTGGTTATACTTAGCAGATAATCATAATTGTTTATTTCAAATTGGTGGAAGCGATCAAATGGGTAATATTATATCTGGATATGATTTGATTACGAAAGCCACAGATAAAACAGTTTATGGTTTAACGTTGCCACTTATAACCACAGAAGGTGGTAAGAAGTTTGGAAAATCTAGTGGCAATGCTATTTGGTTATCTCCTACTAAATCCTCTAGTTTTCAACTTTATCAATTCTTTATTAGAACTAGAGACAGTGATGTTGAAAATTTTCTCAAATTCTTTACCTTTTTATCGCTCTCAAAAATATCCGACATTGTAACGGAACATTTTAAAAAACCGGAGGATAGATTGGCACAAAAAATTTTAGCTGAAGAAGTTACTCTTCTAGTTCATGGAGGTAATTTTAATTGAAACAAGAAAAGAATATATTTAATATTAATTATTATTATTATTATATTGAATAAAAACATCAACATATTTATTTGCAGAACTTGGAGTAAAAGCAGCAAAAGATGCATCTATGGTGTTGTATAATAAATCTATTGAAACTTTAGTTAAAATGAGTGCAGAAGATATAGCCAATGTATTCGAAGGTGCAACAGTTGTTGATTTATTTGCAGAACCAGGCTTGACCGTATACGAATTAGCAACAAAAGCTAAATGCTTTAAAAGTGATCATGATACGCGTAGAATTATAGAAGCTGGTGGATTTTATATTAATTATAGTAAAGTTACTAACTTAAATGAAGTTTTAGTATCTGGTATTCATATACTATCTAATAATGTAACCCTTTTGAGGGTTGGTAAAAAAACTTATTTTATAGTACGATGGATCAGTGGATCATTGGAAGAATATAATTGATTTTAATTATTAATTTTGTTTAAATCTTTAAATTAATTGTTTATAAAAAACAACAGAAAAAAAATATATCTTATGAAATTAACTAATGTACTACATTACCATTCGAATTTGTATCTGTAATAATATTTAATCGCGTCGGTAAAGTAGAACACACGTAGTGTTAAATTTAAAGATTAGATTGATATTAATTTCTTCTATAAACAAATACAACACGATGATAAAATATTGTTTTTTTTTTTTTTTTATGGAATGTTTGAAGAATTATAAACTTGATTTTGCCAAGTTGATAAAGTAGAGAATAAAAACAAAAAAAAAAAAGAAAAAGAGATGGTGCAACAGTATAAGTCGTTAGAATGATCCGGTCTGTTATCGGTGGAATGTTAAGAGGCTAGCCTGGCTCTCGTCATTTTGGATTTATCTGAATTAAAATCGTTCAGGGCTGTGCCTTGAATAAAATTTATTTCAATATTCTTTTTCTTATAAGAAAATATATATTATTTTCTTTTTTTTTTTGGGGGGGGGGGTATTAATTTAAATTTACAATTGATTCGCGCGTACAATGCAATAAACAATTCCTTTAAAGGAGAAGTAATATTTTGTATCGTACAACTGTGTATTTATTTGGAAGTAGAGAAGGCCATTTTAGTCAACATTCCATAGCATTCTTCGTGTACTAATAAGGACTAAACTCTAATGTAATAGATTGTTCGTAAATACGTTAAAAGTACATGAAAGGAAAGATCATAAAAGTAAAAGTAAAGATTCTAGTAGAATAGTTAAGTTATGAAAAATTGTTTAAATTAAAAATTTAATATAAGAAAAAATTGTGCAAATAGCGGTATTAGGTAAAAGGAAGATAAGTTTCGTGTTTGCAATAATTACATAACAGATGGCGCATATATTAACTTACATATGTTAAATGATATTTGGGCCCTGGATAGTTTAATTAGTTAAATGATATTTATACTTGTTTTGTATTTAGAATTGAACATAAATAGTTTATTTTCTCGAAACATTACCACATAAATGAACAATAATTTAAAATAATTGTCATATTAATTTTATCAAGACACCTTGTGTGCAAGTATTCCTTGTTACCTTATTCATTTTTTACGTAAATATTCTTATATATTTATTAAGGAATCGTACAAAATTTCTATTAAAAATATTATCTATCAAATTGTTGATAAAACAAAAATTATCAATATTTTAAATAGATGGTCAGTATTTACAATAAAATATCAGAATTTAAAAAAAATAGGAATGAGTTGATGAGTTGATGCATTTAAATTATTTGAACAGTAAATATATATTGTAATCTCATCAATGTTAAATATTTTTTAATTAAAATTTCCTTTTTATTCAGTTTATTTTATATCTATATTAATAATATATCCAGCGTTCAACTATATATCTAATAAAACTTAGACGTAAGATCTCGATACCCTCTTATATAGGTATTGTCCATATATTTATCAAAATACTGATCAAAGTAAAAATAAATAATAGTATTCTACGTTTAACAAAACAAGTCGTGAGAGCAAAAAAAAAAGAAAAAAGCAAAATAAAATTGAAAGAATAACGACGTATCGAGAGTGCACAGTGGTATACTCCCGTTTAACAGGAAAATCGCTTTAAGGTTTAACAAGAGCAGGAACAAGCATGAAAGATCGAGCACGACGTTATTCGTCTTTTTCCCTTCCTCTTCTCCTCAGCCCACCCCCGCTTCTCTTTCTACATCTTTTCCTGAAATCGTCGTAAAGTAAGAGGAATAGTCGTCTCAGGTCATTGAAAGTGAAAAGAGGAGAAATGGAACGGGGCACGATCGTTTACCGATTCGTACCTGGGTGCTTTCCGCCAAGTCTACTCGAGCTAACGTTTGGTCCCCCCTTTATGGGGGAGGGAGAGGACTTGTCTCTCCTTGTGGTGGTTGCTTCTCCTTCTTCTTAACTTGGACTTTACTTTATGCGGGACACTTTATGCCCCCGATTGCGAACGACACCGGAACGCTCTCAAGTCCTCGCCGCTTTAGCGAATCCTTCTCGTAACCTTACTCTGATCGGGATCCCCTCCCCCCCTTTTTTCCGATCGCAAAACAACGAGAGCGCTTTAATTTAAGATTCCAAGAAGGACTGGAGAAAGAAGCTGGTCGCGTTTCTCGAACTATCTTCCTACAACACGCTCCCTCCCCCCCTCCCTCCCTCATCTCTCAACACTCCTCTCACTACCTCACTCCTTTACTACTCTCCTTCTTCCTTCTTCCCTCATTCCTTCTTATTCTTGTTTTATTGTCTTGTCTTCCTTGGGAGGTTTTTACAAGACGCCGGCACGTTTTAATAATCGTGTCTCCAAAACGCACGTTCAAAAGCTAATGCATTTTACTTTATAACCGTTCCGTTTGATTGCTCGCTCGATTGATTTTAATCCTATCACTAACTGTTATTATAATCAGGTATAGGTTTAATCAGGTAAGATGGTATTTTTAGAATACAATTTTTTTTTTTTTTATGGCCAATAAAATATGTTCTAAGTTGGTGACATCCCTTGTTTTTCTGTTTGTTTGTATCTATTCAAAGAATTATACGATATTATAATGCGTCTTGATAATCGTATTCGAATGTGATTCGAATGCCAATGCATTTTTCAATAATATATACATAAATAATATAATTTTGAATTGTTCGTATCCTACGTGATCGGTAAGTTTTATTATTATTATTATTATTTTTGCCATTTCATTGCCGTTCAACACGTTTTGTGTGATCATTGATAATATTGGTGTTTTTTAATTAAAATTAAATTTGAAAAACAATTTAATTGTATTAATTACAATTAAAAGTATAATATATGTGTGATGATACGGGTCCGATTGTAATTCCATTGTTTCAATTGAACATTTTTAAATTTATAAACTTAGTCGTGTATTTAATGTTTATGATGTAAATGGATTGAAAATAATCCTATGACACACAACACGTTTTAATAATATCGTATGTATAATCGTCTAATCACTCAATCATATGTAATTACAAGAAGCAATATCATATTCACTTAAAGGATTAATGATTCACCAATTTTCAATTTTTAAATAAGAAAAAGATGAAGAAAACAAAGAAGAAGAAGAAGCTAGTGAATTAGTTTCGTTAATTTCATCAAAGTGTTCATTTCCATAGATAATCTTTTATATATATACATATATACATACATTGTTGTTTCTTTGAAATGAGCTTAGTCAGTCAAAGCAATCAAAGTCAAATAGCAAAATTTTTCTCTTCTCTCTTTTTATTCTTCCACCATAATAGCCTTTGAATCGAGACGATTATAACGAAGTAATCAAAGATAACAACGTGGACATTATAGAAAATCGATTTCTACTAACGTCTCTCTCATCGTTCTTTTAGCTTTTTTCTTTTTCTTTATTTCGTTCGTTTATTCGTTCTTTACGTTTCTTCGTTCGATGTCCTCCGCTAATCGTGGCAAACCCCGTAATCGGTAGAAAAGAGTATTTACACGGATATATGTGGGGGGGGGAGGGTGGGAGGGCGTTTAGGTTGAACGTGTGTGCGTGTTGTTGCGTTGAAAAGAGACGAGATACGAGAAAGAAAGAAAGAGAGAGGAGGGTGGATGGTGATGGGGGATGAGAGAGAAGGAGAGAGGGTCACGAGTCACGATATCAACGGGAGATGGGGTCGAAAACAATTTAATGGCTGCAAATGGCAGTCTTGGGAAATTGGCATTGTACGGACAGACGACGAAAATGATGCGGAGGAGACAAAGAAGATAGAAAGAGATGAGAAAAGAAAGAAAGAAAGAGAAGGATAGAGAAAGATGGAGAATGGCAAGGAGTGAGTTTCGCCAAGAAGAAGAGTTCGATGCAGTCGCGTATTTGGTCTTTAAACGTTCGGTAAAAAGGGCTGGACACGATTTACTCTTGATTACAGAGTCGCCAGGTCAAAAGTCGAAACAAAATGACCGTCGATGCTTAATACGAGTGAGAGAAAGAGAAAGAGAAAGAGAAAGAGAAAGAGAAAGAGAAAGAGAGAGAGAGATGCGAGGAACCCAAGATTATAGGTAAGAACTAATAATTCGAAGAGGCAAAATCGCTATAGAAGCGGGGTATACTCTTTTAAAAGTACTTTTCAAAGTTATCTCTTTTATTTCTTTTTATTTTATTGTTTTCCTTTTCTAATTTTTTTTTTTTTTTTGAGAGGAAGAAGAAGAAGAAGATGAAAGATCAAACGAACAACATAAAATGATAATCTTTTGTCGCATAAGATTCGCATTTGCGGAACTTTATAATACATCATGTGTTGGTAATTATGGCAATGGATTTTTTTCAAGTTACAACAAATTTAAGATAATAAATTATTTGATAAATATTTACTTTATATTACAATAAAATATTTTATGATCATTGTCTATATATAATGAATTATTAAATGGCACTTTTTGATACTACTATTAGTCCACTTTCATAATTATCGACAAATATATAATAATTATTGTTTTACAAGAAAATACAAAAAAAAAAAAAGAAATTACACATTCTTTTATAAAGTCAATAATTTTCGATTGAAATCTCTCGATTGTATCCAATTGATAATAGTTAATATTACTATTACGTCATATTGCAAAAGATATACGATTGATCGAGTCGATCATTTTCTCTCTCTCTCTCTCTCTCAAACAATTGATTCGCAATGATCGAATTGATTTATCGTTTGAGAGACGAACAGAATGTAGCGATAATGTGCAACGTGACTGTTCTCTTCTCTCTTTCTCTCTTTCTCTTTCTCTCTTCCTCCCACCACCCTACAGCCCGCCATAAAGCAGCCCTCGCTTTTTCCCCCCACCCCACTCTTTTGACCGCGTCCTCGGTCCCACTTCCTCTCTTCCTCCACCTTTCTCAATCCCATATTCCAAGATGGCCGCTCGTGCGCTTATACGCGCGCGAGTGGAGGCTGCGCCGCAAAAAAGGACGAACGTAATAACGTAGTATCGCTAATGACCGGGCAATTTCATCGTGTACGAGTGTTTCCCCCTCCACTCTTTTTCTCTTTCCCCTCCTCATCCTTCTTCTTCTTCTTTCTTTCTTTCTAAGTTTCTTCGGATCTTTTTCTTTCTTTCTTTTACTTCCTTCCTTCCTTCCTTCCTTCCTTCTTTCTTTCTTTCTTTCTTTCATTCTCATCCTTCTTAAACTCTCCCCTACCCATCCTACAATTCTCTTTTTACCTTTCTTTCGAGTTACCCCCACCCCTACACACCTTTCCGCCATCTTACGTGAAGTAATTTCAATAATAAATTCATTGCTATTTTCA